CCCCCAAAATATCTGCTTTATATACATCATTTACACAATGGGCTGCACGTGATTGGCTAATTCCGGGATTCTCCTGTAGGCCAATCAGGTTGTGGATTCACTTCCACCTGGAGCTGGATTGGGTGGCTCCTGTGGACCAATCATATTGCTGTTCTAGGACCAATCAGACTGCTGCATTCTGAATCCTATTGTTCTAGGACCAATCAGACTCCTACATTTTGGATCCTATTGTTCTAGGACCAATCAGACTGCTGCATTTTGGATCCTATTCAACTCAGTACATAACAAGGACCTTTCCTGAATTTAACTTACATGTAAATAGGCATTACAGAAGGCTCCTGGTGAATAGCATTTCTGGATAATCTAGGCTACATTAAGTAGTTGATTTTGGAACCACTGTTTTATCTCCACTTCCACTAGCTGTGGAAAGGGTTATAGCTCAGTGGTTAAAGCATCTGCTTTGAATACAGAAAGTCCCAGATTCAGTTCCTGGCATATTCGGATACAGCTGGAAGACATCCCATCTGAAATCCTTGAGAGCCACTATCTACCAATGTAGATAATGCCAAGCTAGATGGACAAATGGTCTGATTCCTGCTTCCTTTCTACAGTGATCACTTTAAAAGGGGATTAGACCAATTTATGGAGGACACGGCTATTGATGGCTACTAGCCACCATGGCTATGGTCTGGCTCCACAGCTGGAGGCAATACTAGTTGCTGGAAACCACATGAGCGGAGAGTGCTCTTGTGCTCAAATCCTGCTTGCGTGTTTTCCATTTGGAGCATCTAGTTAGCCACTGTGAGAGCAGGATGCTAGACCAGATGGGCCATTGGCTTGATCAAGCATGCTGCTCTTATGCTCTTAAGCTTATTCCTATGAATGTTTTGTTTTTTACAACACAAATGTGTCCCATTTTTTTCTCTTGAAATCAGGTTATCTTGAGGCCAAATGTGATTGGAGAGGGACAGGACTGCCCTTTTAAATCCTGAGTTCACCACAGGTGTGTGTAAGGCAATGGCTGTATGTATGTATGTAGTCCAGAGATAGCCAATGGGATGCCCTCCAGCCACTGCCATCATCCTTGCACAATAGCTATGCTGGGCATGGCTGATGGGAGTCTAGCAACAGCTGGCGGCCATCATGTTGTCTACCTGTGGGTTAGCAAATGCTGATAAGCATGCTTAAGAGTGTGGGGGTGGAGGGAGAGAGGGGAGAAAAACCATTTCTAAAAGAAAAGAGTTAATATGATTATTAGTGAGAAGCACTTGAAAAGGGAACTTGGAAAGAGAGAAGCAAATCTTTTAAAAAGCACTTCTCTTTCAATTAAAGTGTCTGCAGAGCTTAGATACTTCAAGGAAGAAACTGCCGTTTGAATTGCCTTCTCCCTAGGTCCGTTCCCTCTCTGATTCTTCACCTTGAAGATGAAAGAAGCGAAGATGTTCTCCTTCCAAGTTCCAACAATTCATTCTTTTCATGAATTGTGCTTGATCCAAACCGTTTTACTAAGTCAAAGGGTGCGCACTATGAAACCATGCTTTCTGGCCATCAATCACCTCCCCCCCCCCCCCGCAAAGGAAGAATACTTTAAGTTGATGTCTCTAGTGTCTACCATGTTAGATTGAAAGGGAAATTACTACGAAATGTCTATTGCGTGTCGAGGTCCCCAAGCCACCCCCAAATGAATTCACACTTCACACAGGAATTTTTGTTTAAGGTTTTTGGCATAATTTTGGCCACAAATTTATTTTTTTTAAAATGTGAGTGGTTGCTTAGGCATTGGTTGCAACAGAACTGACATCCGCAAATCTGCAAAGTCAGTAAGGAAAAACATTTTTGGGGAGAAAATGGAGCTGGGTGCCAGACCCTCACCTCTCCCCAAATGCTCCCAGGGGCTCTTGTGTGGCCCTCACGCCCTTGACAGGGGTGCGGACAAAAGCATGGTGAGCTCCTGGATTCCTTTAATGGAATACCCTTGCAGCAGCAGCATTGGAGGGGCAGGCACAGCCAATCCATACCCCTCCACCAACCAATTTTCTAAAACCAATGCCTAACCACAACCCTACAAGTTGTGACGATTTGCTATGCAGTAGGCAAAAAACCAAATGGCACCAAATTCCTACCAGGCCCCTGCCCCAAAAGCAGATGACCCCATGACAGGCATAGCAAGGTCAAATGCAAAAGCCCTAAAATTAGTGAGGGTGGGCAGGTGATTCGATGCACCCAGCGAAAAGAGGAAGCTCAACACTGCGTGCAGAGAATATATAACCTAAGGCTGTCAGTCAATAATTGGCAACATCAAACTCGCCCCAACAACAAGAGGAGCCCAATCACAATGGTGGACATCTAAACAAACCCACCCAGCAACAGCGAGGTGTCTTGTTAACCCCACTGCAACCCATGCTCTCCATGAAGGGGGGAATAGAATCCCCAGAGCAAGGAATCTTAGTGAATAAAATAAAAGAAACCAGAAGCCTGATTTTTATAAATAAATAAATAAATAAATAAATAAATAAATGTATTTGCCTTGGGTCAAAAACAAAACAATGCATTGCATCATAAACATCTATATGAATGCTGAGTGGGGTTATCTAGAGATTTGGAATACGCTGTCAGCAATATGCTGATGACATACAGCTCTACTTCTCGTTTGCATCTGCAGGTGTCACAGTGGATGTGCCGGACCTTTGTCTTGCCTTGGTAATTGACTGGATGAGAGGCTCAATCCAGGTAAGACTGAGACATTGTCAGTGAGTGATTCCTTAGACCGGATGGATGGGAGGTGGCCTGCTCTTGATGGGATTACACTGCTCTTGATGGGTACATAGGTTGGTGGTGTTTCTGGGTCCTTTGCTGTTGCCTGAGACTCAGGGTGCTTCAGTGGCATGGAGTGCCTTCCATCAACTTTGGCGGGTGGCTCAGCTTCACCCCTGTCTGGGCAGAGATAACCTGACTTCAGTTGTCTATGATCTGGCAAGCTCTAGGCTAGATTACTGCAACACATTTTGTGTGGGGCTGCCTCTGAAGACACTCTGGAAACTTTAGCTGATGTAGAATTCAGTGGCCAGGCTACTCACCAGGGACTCAGTTGCACAGGTCAATTTATAATGTTAAAAATGTGTTACATAAATATGGCACCAGATGGCACTGTACAGCAAAATCCAAATTCAGTGGCAGATTGCCTAGGGAGCTCCCTGCCCCCCGCCCCACGGTGTTTTTTAAATAGCATTTTTTATATCTGTGTAGATACAGCCCAGGTCAAGAGGTTTACACATCTTTAGCCACCAGGTGAAAAGGTTTCTCTATAACCCGGCTTTTGATTGTTTAACATTCTATGGCCTATTAAATATGTTTGCGGGAGAAGCAGTTACTGGGTTTTGTTTATTTTGTGTTCTCATTTTTGTTTCGAATCACCCTGTGATTTTTGGATGAAAGGCGGCATACAAGTTGATTAAATAAATACTATATAAATAATATATGGTTAACCACATTGGTTGAATCTCTGGTGTACTGTAAAACATTTGTTCTTCTTTACACCAGGGCAGTGTAATTCACACTTTTAACCGCTAAGTGGAGATCAAGTATCATTTATGCTACTTACACAGCTAAGAAATAGTTTCTTTCAATTTATCGCTCCCAACAGGCCTTGGCAGGCCTGCTGCCAGCAAGTGACATCCTTTGACAACTGCTCTCCCCTGTGCTGGTGTGGATGCAAAGACAGGGGAGTGTATGTCTACATGTGGCAGATTTCTGCACATACATATAGATTTTGGGACCAAGTTTTACAGGGAATAAGGATATAGTGAGCACACCAGTTTATTCACATCCTCAGCCTTGTTTACTGTCCATCTTCACCATTGCTGCCATTATGTGCAAAATCCCTTGTAATTTATTTTCTTATCACTGATTGACTAACCATTGCACAGACTGCCCCAAGACATTTTTGTATCTGAGGAGAACCACAAAACAGTGACCCTCACACTGCCAGGGAAGGAGTGATGAACTACCTCAGGAACAAGGAAGGAATAAAGATCTACATCAGGATCTGCTGACCCTCTGGATCCTGCTGCCTGAGGCAGCCACCTCACCTTGCCTCATGGTTTGACTGGCTCTGCCCAGGGATGGAGGGCTAACTTAGCCCTTTTCCCAGTTTAAGAAACTCTTCATTGCACTATCTGAAAAAAGCTTCCCCATTCATTATGAGTTTCCAGGGGTAAAGCCAAACCTATGAACTATGCAGTTCCATGGTGGTCATTCACGACTCATGTCTGTAGTTGCCTAAAAAGTATGATTTTATCTGGATTTGATCTTATTCCAGAATTTATTATTGACCAGTCCACTGTGCTTCTGTACAATGATGCTCTCATTATTTGTAGCATGTTTTAAAATAAAAAAACCTCTCTGCATTTCTCTGCCTGCAGTATTTTCTTTCTTAAGTTGTTGACCATACAATATCAAACAGGCAAGCCATTGTTCACTTCTGAACAGTCATACCTCGGGATAAATACGCTTCAGGTTGAGCGCTTTCAGGTTGCGCTCCGCTGCGACCCGGAAGTAACGGAGCAAGTTATTTTTGGGTTTCGCCACTCGCGCATGCGCAGACGGTCAAAATAACGTCATGCACATGCGCGGAAGCGGGGAAACGCGACCCGCGCATGCACAGACACGCTGTCGTGTCTGTTCAGGATGCGAACGGGGCTCCAGAATGGATCCCATTCACATCCCGAGGTACCACTGTATCTTGCAAACATTTTTACAGGATTTTTTTTTTTTAAAGGGAAAAAGCAGCAGCACTTTTGCCAGCACAGTGTAATTCACAGCTTTAACCAGTAGGTGCTGATAAAACATTATATATGTAATAATAAAATAGGAAAGGGACCTCTGGACGGTTAAATCCAGTAAAAGGCGACTATGGGGTGCGGTGCTCATCTCACTTCAGGCCACAGACAGCTTTCCAGGTCATGTGGCCAGCATGACTAAACTGTTTCTGGCACAACGGGACACCACGACAGAAGCCAGAGCGAACGGAAACACCGTGCACTGTGTATGTAATTTACACAGCTAAGAAGTGCAACTTGTTGCTTCCAGTGGAGATCCTTGTCAGGCCTGCCATCAGCATGTGACACCCTCTGACAACTCCTCGGCTCTCAGTCCTCTGGCCAGATCCATAGCAGCTGCCTGAATGTATACAGAATTGGCAAAAAGCACTGTAGAGTAGTAAGCATGTTGGAATTGGGCCTATGGGATCCGGGTTCACATCCCTGGTCAGCTGTGTCGCATGACTTCCAATTTGTGAGCAGGTATGTTCCATTGATCTTAGAGGTGCTTACCTGTCCAGCTTGAAAAACACTGTGCTTTGGGGGGCGGGGGGGAGAGAAAGCTTGATCCAGACTAAATGCCCCTTTCAGCCCAAGGCCACATTCCTTTTTGGGCAACCTTCTGAGGGCCATAAGCTTGTGGTGGGCAGGGCCAGAACCAGTAATGAAAGGAGCAACACACACAAATTTTAATCTTTGTAGTTAGTCTAGTTTCTATGCACAGGCGCAGACACTTCTCTGTACTCCATCCAGGCAAACAAAAGGCACATTCCCAGCCAGGCAGAAAACACTGAGGATGTGATGCAGAGCCTGTGATGGGTGTGGCCTGGAGAGAATTCTGAGGGGCCACACAGAAATGCCTGGAGGGCCACTTTCGGGCCCTAGGCCTGAGATTACCCAGCCCTGTTTGAGCTCTTAACCAGAAATGAAAACGATCTTGCAAAGAAGGTGTGACATTTAAACTGCTAGTGTGAAGTAAATAAGCACCAGCCTCTGCCTGATATTTCTTCCCTATTTCCGCAAACTTCTGTTATGTTAACCTTTCACAAACAATCTCAACACTTGGAAGCTGCATTATCACTTCATTCCCTTACCAGGGCAAGGAGGGTCTCTCAATTAATGGGCTGTTCTGACAGACTACATAATAAGTCCCTGAGCCTCCTCCAATTCCTGCTCCATTATCTCAGAGTTTTAGTTTCAATATGAGTAGGAAAATGACAGTAGCCCTAAACATTTTTTTTTTTATAGAAAAAAGCACTGCTTTAAACCATGTGTTTAAATGCAAACCAAAAGAGGGCACTGTTTGTTCAGAAAACTGGCCAGCACTTGTTTGCAAACCTCTTAAAATTAACTCCACTCCTAAATGCTGAACCAAGATACCTGCTATTTTCTCTCTTTCATCACTATTCATCCTGTAAATACTTCACAAGCTGCTTCATAAGAAGGCAATATATAAATTTTGGCTGTGCACAGAACCCCCATCTGTTCAGTGGTTTCAATCTGAGGGACCAGTTCCAAAGTAGTTTGGGAGATGGAGCTTATGTTTCATGAACTGGGTTTGTTTGTTTTTTTTAAAATGTCATTAAACATACACCTGGAAGCTGGAGAAAGATGTTGTTCTCCTCCTCATCTCCAGCTGAAAGCAGGCGTGGGCGGGTTGTCAATTCTGCCAGCTGAGCCCTTGCAAGCATATTGTCTGATAATTTGTTTGCAAAGGAGCCCCCTGCGCCAGACAGGATTGGCCATTCTGCTGAGCAGTGGAGTTTCTGCTCCTGCTCCTTTGCACCATGCAGGAAGAAGTGTCAGGCAGTAGGAGGCTACCTTATCCCGGTGATTACGGTAGCTCTCAGTCTCTTTGTGGGGTTTTCCCACCTGATGCCTGCCTCTACACCACGATAGCAGTGAATTGCTCTTGGCCATGGGTAGGCAACCTAAGGCCCGGGTGCCGGATCCGGCCCAATTGCCTTCTCAATCCGGCCCGCGGACGGTCCGGGAATCAGTGTGTATTTACATGCGTCGAATGTGTCCTTTTATTTAAAATGCACCTCTAGGTTATTTGTAGGGCCTGCCTAGTGTTTTTACATGAGTAGAATGTGTGCTTTTTTAAAAAAATGCATCTCTGGGTTATTTGTGGGGCATAGGAATTTGTTCATCCCCCCCCCAAAAAAAATATAGTCCGGCCCCCCCACAAGGTCTGAGGGAGAGTGGCCCCCTGCTGAAAAAGTTTGCTGACCCCTGCTCTTGGCCATCCAAGCTGATCTGTAGCCATCTGCATCTGTCTGTACCTGACTCATGCAACACCCAAGTCCTTCTGAATAGGCCCAGTTTGGCTCAGAACTCAGCTGGATTTGGTCCACAACCTAAAATAAAATAAAATATTCATCCTTATCCAACCTCCATTTTCTGTTTGGTGGGAGAAAGATGGGGGGGAGGGGAGGGGGAGGGAATTACATTTAAACCAGAGCCTAAAGATTTGTCATGTCCCTGTACTCATCCCTAATAAAACATCTGGTATAGTGGTTAGAGTGTTGGACTAGGACTAGAGAGTATACCAAGGTTTGAATTCCACCTCAGCCATGAAGTCCACTGAAGTCCACTGCACATAGCCCGGATTTATGTTGGTGGGGACAGGCTTTATGTTGGGGTGGGGGCAGAACCTCAGTTAATTAGTTAATTAAGTATTTGTATTGATTTACTTGATATGGGGGGCAGCTGCCCCCCTGCCTCCCTCTTGGCTATGCCCATGTAGCCTCTCTCAGCCTAATCTACTTCACAGGGTAGCTGTGCTAAATGAGGAGACGGAGAAGCATGTATGCCACCTTGAGCTCCTTGGAGGAAAAGGTGGGGTATAAATGCAAATAAATAATATATATATATATATATATATATATATATACACGCATTTTTATCTTGGTGACGCCATCTTAAAATGTCATTCATATGCTCGCACCAAGTGTGTTTGCTCCTTCCCTAAATCTTTTGTGTGGCAATGAGAGGGACCAGGTACAATGAGTTCCGACGGGGCATTGGGGAGGCTTGTCGCTTGCGTGTGACGCCACACTTGCAACAAATGCATATGATGTCACATGCTTTGGCATAGTTGTCAACTGCCCCTTATTTGGCAGGAAACTCCCTTATCCCAGTGCCGTGTCCCACTGCTGTCCCTTATTGATGATGTCCCTTAAATTTCCCAGGTTTCAAAGGAAGCAGCTTCTCTCCCTCCCTCCCTGCTGGCCAGGGAGGAAGGAGGCTCCAACTGTGTTGCTTGGCTGCCCACCCTGCCCCCCTCCGGCCTCCTCTCACCAGCCTCGGCCCCCCGGAGTCCCTCCCCGCTGGGACTGGCAGGAGCCTCGGGCCCTTCCACTGCCATCCTCTCCGTGGCCGCCGAACTGAGTGTCTCTGCCTGGGGCCTCCCCTCTGCCCATCGTCGCCGCTCCCGCTAGGCCGTACTGCGGCTGCACCGCCAAAGGACCTGGATGAGATGGGCAGCCTGGTGCGGCCTATGAATTGCTGAGGAGCCTTGAGAGGAGAGCGAGGGCAACCATAGAGAAAGCAGTTCAAGAGAGGAGGAGGAGGCGGAGGCGCGGGCAGGTGTTCCAAGGGGTAACCATAGAGGGGGAAAGCAGAGGAAGGACAGCAAGCGCTTCTCCAATAGATTTGTAGTGGTAGACTAGCATAGATGGTCTGATCTGCGAGTTTACTTTGGGCGCTATTTCCCCTCCCGCCCTGCCTGATGGAACTGAGAGCTGCAGATGGAGCACGAGAGAAAAGATACAGAACTGCAGCAGCATCTTCGTAGCTTGGACTTTGTTTTGCGTGAAAAGTGGTTGCTGCTTGTAGTTATTTAATTGCAGTGTTCCATCAGCTGGTGTCTTGAGCAGCAACCTCTGGAAAGGAAGGGCTAAAAACGGGCTGCTCTCCCAAATTATCTGGTCCCTTTTAACTTCGCATTTCAGCTGGTTGACTAAAATCCCTTATTTTGGCTGCTGGTCCCTTATTTCCGAGGCTGCTGGCCCCTTATTTTCAAATCTGTAAGTTGACAGCTATGTGCTTTGGCAGGAGGCTGCAAGGCCTGACAAGGCCCTCTGTCACTGCAGGTAGGCCAGTTGGGGCCTTCTGGTGCCAATGAGGAGGCCCGGCAGGGCCCTCCACTACCGCCACAGGGAGGCCCAGTGGGACCCAGCTCCTCATGACTGCGGGTGAGGGACTCAGACCAGGCCATTCCTGCTTACCTGGGGGGTGGGGCTGAGCTGTCCTCAGCCCCATAGAGTTGGCGCCTATGAGAGGGACAAACCCCTCATAGTATTGACCTCATTACAGTCCTTGGACACCCCAAGTTCGTACACCCCAGGGGTGAATAGCGAGAGAGGGCACTCAGCTTTTTACAGTCTGTGGCTGTATTTCTCTGTTGCCCTGAAGCCCTATTTAGCTGTTTACATTCCAGCATGCCGCTAGAACATTGTCATGGTTAGGCACCAGCTTATCTGTAAGACAGAGACAACAATTCAGAATTGCAGCAAAATGTTACTGTGCAGAGTAGTTTCAGCTAGCCATGTGTGCATGAGTGCAAGGTCTTCTTGTGTGTAAGTGCTGATGCATCACGTGCTTTTCAAGGCTCAGATTATTGACTGGATCCAATTTTTACCCAGATCTCATGGAAAAGTGAACTGAAGTCCATGACAGAATGCCCATCTGCATGGGTCTAAGGATCTAAATTGGCTGGTGACACCCTGCTCTATCCTAGTCCACCTTTCCTAGTTGTTCATCTTCTTCCCAACAGTCACCCAACATTCTGCGGTTACTGATCTTGCTCAGTTCCTACCAAACAATTTCCTTCCCCCTTTATGTTTTTTCTTTACTCCCTAAACATTCTTTAGCTTAGGGCTTCTTCAAGGCTGCTGATATCTCCCTTCCTGCTCTTGGATTCCATTGTTAGGGCTGGGAAAGAGAACACTATCTGATGCCCCAGAGAGCCCAGAGACAATGTGAAAGGCTTTGAATTTTATACTTTATAAAGTCTGAATGTAACGATTCTAGGCTAACTGAAGCATCTAAATGTTCTTTGGGGCAGCCCCAACCCACCCACAAACATGTTCCAGTAATCCTCTCAAGAGGTTACTAAAGCATGTGGCAAAATCTGATTGCTCCCAGAAAAAGAAACTTAAACCTGCAGCACACACATACAGGAGGTGTGTGTGTGTGTGTGTGTGTGTGTGTGTGTGTGTATGTAATCTTATCCGTCTGTACCCAGAATAAAGTCCCACAACTTTCCATATACAGGTTAAGAACTTTCCATATACGGTTTAAGAACTTAATTGGTTCTGGAGGTCCGTTCTTAACCTGAAACTGTTCTTAACCTGAGGTACCACTTTAGCTAATGGGGCCTCCCGCTGCCGCTGCGTGATTTGTGTTCTCATCCTGAAGCAAAGTTCTTAACCCGAGGTACTATTTCTGGGTTAGCGGAGTCTGTAACCTGAAGCGTCTGTAACCTGAAGCATCTGTAATCCGAGGTACCACTGTATATCTCTCCATCTCCCACTGCTTGTCCTGCCCCCCAATACATTTTTGGTGAAAGAGATATCTCAAACGGTCTTGTTTTTCATCACTCTTTGCTGTTCAGTAGTGCCCACGAGTGAGTAATCTCCACTGGTCACTTATGACTTCTTGGGCCATTTTCACTCTCATTGAGACACATCAAAGTATGGTCCTAGGGCAGGGGTCAGCAACCTTTTTCAGCTGTGGGCCGGTCCACCATCCCTCAGACCATGTGGTGGGCCGGACTATATTTTTTGGGGGGGAAATGAACAAATTCCTATGGCCCACAAATAACCCAGAGATGCATTTTAAATAAAAGTACACATTCTACTCATGTAAAAACACCAGGCAGGCCCCACAAATAACCCAGAGATGCATTTTAAATAAAAGGACACATTCTACTCACGTAAAAACACACTGATTCCCGGACCGTCTGCAGGCCAGATTGAGAAGGTGATTGGGCCGCATACGGCCCCCAGGCCTTAGGTTGCCTACCCCTGTCCTAGAGTGTAGTCTGAAGGTGAATGGGACCGTTACATTGTTGTAGAGCAGCAGATCTAGGCCTGCTCAGAGCCTGGATAGCTGATTACCTGGGGTACCTTGCCTTGGTATCCATGAATAATGGTAGGATATAAATATAAGGAATAAAACAAATATAATTGGCCAAATGTCACAGGCTATCAATAGTAATCTGCCAAGCTTTCAGAGATCTTCCTTCAGGGTAAGCCACACTAATAGCTGTAGGAGACATGAAATGAGTGTTATCAAATTATGCAAGTTTTGTAGAAAGTTGTTTGGGAAATGTTTTGATTGCTCTCAGAATGTGGAGACAGTGAAGCGAAATGCTGCAAGATTCTGGACAGACCAAAGGAGGTATATAGTTGAACTCTGTAATTTCCCCCCACAAGTTGTAGTAAAGGTCATAAACTTGAAAGGCTTTACAAGAGGGTTGGAACAATCCATTTAGGATAAGGCAACCTGTGGCTGGTAGCCATGATGTTCTTTCCCCAGTTGCTAGGAATCTCAAGTGGGGAGAATAAGCTGTTGCACTCAGGTCCTGCTTATGAGATTCCCTTTGGAGCATCTGGTCCACCACTGTGAGAACAGAGTGCTGGGCTAGGTGAGCCCTTGGGCTCTTTTCATGTACTCACCAGAATAATAGTCAAGAATCACAGGGTTGGGAGGCACCCTGAAGGACCGTCGCAAACCCACTCCCAAACTTACAGCAATATCAAAACAGCAAAAACTTCAGTCTGCTCCAAGAAAAATAGTAAACACAGACTTCTAAAAAGACATTGGGGTTTTCTCTCGACACACATAGAGTTGAACGTGGATTTCAAGAAAGCAAAGAGGCAAAGGAAAAGAAGTAACTTTCATGGTCTTACTCAGCTCCTTACTCAGTGCAGCTGGTACTGGAGAATTTATCACTGGATTATGCTCAATTCATTTTGAGAGTACCGAAGGCAGATGTCAGAGGGGATCCAACACAGCTTAGCTATTGTTGTTCTCCTTTTCCTTTATTGCAACACTGATTACCTGCTGGCCATGAACCTTGCTTTTTTAAAGAGAAAAACAAATAAAGCTTCAGTGTTCTGTCCCACCTAGCAGAAATTATCTGATTAAAAAAACAACAGAGCAACTGGCTTGACCTTGATGGCAGTACAGGCTAATGCTTTGGTATTATGGGATACTTGAGAGCTTAAATTAATCAGTGTGAATAGCTGGCTGCAACATGATTTTCTTCTGTGGGTTAATAAAAGGGATGTAAGAAGGCATATTTATTGGAATATTTCTTCGCCAATACAAACTTGGTTGTAACAGACACAGTGGCGAAGTTCCTCTTCTCTGTTAAAGTTCTCACAAGAGAATAGTCCCATTTTAATTGTATTTTTTGGTAACACAGTTTTTATTCATTTTATCTTTAAACTGTTTAACACAGTTGCATTGAAATATATCTTTGCTTACATTAGACCATATAAAGGTAAAGGGACCCCTGACCATTAGGTCCAGTCATGGATGACTCTGGGGTTGCGGCGCTCATCTCACTTTATCGGCTGAGGGAGCCAGCGTACAGCTTCCGGATCATGCAGCTAGCATGACTAAGCTGCTTCTGGCGAACCAGAGCAGCGAACAAAAATGCCGTTTACCTTCCCGTCAGAGCGGAACCTATTTATCTACTTGCACTTTGACGTGCTTTTGAACTGCTAGGTTGGCAGGAGCTGGAACCGAGCAACAGGAGCTCAGCCCGTCGTGGGGATTCAAACCGCCAACCTTCTGATCAGCAAGCCCTAGGCTCTGTGGTTTAACCCACAGCGCCACCCGCATCCCATCACACAGTGGTATTTTTTCACTTTATAGATCAAAACCAGCATATTGAATTGAACTCAGAAACTGCAGGCAAGGACCATTTTGTGCGGGGATTGCATTCCTGCCCCCTGCACATGTTGGCAAAGTGCATGTAAGCCTGTTCTGCCCCCACGCACCCTGCCCGGCCTCCATTACACCCCCTTTCCCAGCCACATCCGGGGGCGGTGCAATGTGCACATGCATGTCTGCACATCAATTGGACGTGCCTAAAAAGGTCATTGCCTGTAATTGGCAGCTAGTGCAGTCAGGCCAGAATTGGGATTATATGCTCAAACTTGGCAGCTGAATTCTGCATTAGCTGAAATTTCCAAACCATCTCCAAAGGCAGCCCCACATATAACATATTGCAGTAATCTAACCTAGAGGTTACCACAGTGTAGACACAGAGGTTATGTTATACCTGCCCAGATAGGGGCATTGCATGCCACCAGGATCACCTGAGCCTCAAGTGACAGTGATGCTTCCAGAACTACCATCAAGCTATGTATCTGATACTTCAAAGAGAGTGTAACCCTTTTAAAAGCAAGCAGCCTCCCATCCATCCAGTCTAGGAAACCACTCACTCACAGTGCCTCAGTTGTAACTGGTCTGAGCTTCAGTTCGTTGGCTCTCATCTTGTCTATAATGTAAGACATCAGTCCAGCAAATCTACTGCATCACCTGCAAATGTAAAGAAATAGAATCATAGAATCATAGAATCATAGAGTTGGAAGAGACCACAAGGACCATCGAGTCCAACCCCCTGCCAAGCAGGAAACACCATCAGAGCACTCCTGACATATGGTTGTCAAGCCTCTGCTTAAAGACCTCCAAAGAAGGAGACTCCACCACACTCCTTGGCAGCAAATTCCACTGTCGAACAGCTCTTACTGTCAGGAAGTTCTTCCTAATGTTTAGGTGGAATCTTCTTTCTTGTAGTTTGGATCCATTGCTCCGTGTCCGCTTCTCTGGAGCAGCAGAAAACAACCTTTCTCCCTCCTCTATGTGACATCCTTTTATATATTTGAACATGGCTATCATATCACCCCTTAACCTCCTCTTCTCCAGGCTAAACATGCCCAGCTCCCTTAGCCGTTCCTCATAAGGCATCCTTTCCAGGCCTTTGACCATTTTGGTTGCCCTCCTCTGGACACGTTCCAGTTTGTCAGTGTCCTTCTTGAACTGTGGTGCCCAGAACTGGACACAGTACTCCGGGTGAGGTCTGACCACAGCAGAATACAGTGGCACTATTACTTCCCTTGTCATAGCTGTCAACTTTCCCCTTTTCTTGCGAGGAATCCTATTCGGAATAAGGGAATTTCCCTTAAAAAAAGGGAAACGTTAACAGCTATGAACAGAGTTGTGGGTCATCACCATATTGCTGACAACATCAAAACTCAAAATGTCCTCACTCATTTGTTTCATATACATGGTAAGCAACACAGAAGGCTCCATGGGCCTGAAAGCACCACCCTCTGAAAACTAACATCCAAGTAAGACTGGGACCACTGCAAAGAGGTGCTGCCCACCCCCAACTCAGACAGCTCCAGAAGGATACCATGCTTGATGGTATAGGAAGTTGCTGAGAGATCAAGGTGAATAAACAAGGATACATTTCCCGTGTCTCTCTCCCTACAGAGGTAAACAACATTCTCCATGCCATGCATAATTTTATAATAACAAAATAAAAAATATATTTTTTGAAATTCAGCAGAAGCTGCTGTAGAGGCACTTCTTTGGCACTCCTACCAGTCCATCCCGATTGCTATGTTCCACATAAATGAAAAGCATCTCTTTCATAGCAGGTACATAACATTGTTATTAAGCCATTGCCCCAGTTTATGACCCAGGGAGCAATTTACTGTTGATATTATCATGGCAGGTGGGAGCACTTGTCCTTCCCAGCTCTAAATATTATGATGTTCCTCTTCAGGGACTTATATATATATATATATATATATATATATATATATATATATATATAGAGAGAGAGAGAGAGAGAGAGAGAGAGAGAGAGAGAGAGAAGTCAGCCAAATGCTGAATTTGTCCTTTTCTAAACGCTGTTCCTGGCATGAGCCAAAACACTTAGGCTAACTGGCAAGCGAAGCTCTTTGAGGAATTAATTTGCTCAAGCAAATTATTAGAATCTTTCTTCCTCTTAAAATGTTTAGGGCAAACTGGAGGATAATGAAAGGAAAGGAACAATTACAATGCTTGAAGTGCCCATAACCTCTGCAGGCAGATGCACAAGCGAGTAAGTGCTGTTTCCAGGGTAAGTTTGGATTTGCATCAATTTTGAAATGAAAACAGGGGAGGTCTGTATTTCAGGAGGAGCACCTGTATGTCTGGATGGAAGCTGAAAGAGGAAATGATTCTGGTGATCCTACAACAAAATTTTGCAGTGTAAAGTGCCTCTGTCCATGTTACTCCATTCCATTCTACCTCCATCCTAGTTTTCTATCCCCATCCCCAACAGACACTCTATATTCTGCAGTCACTGATCTTGTAAAGTTTCACAGCTGTTTTGGCTACCCCTGCACCTTGAAGAATTTTGACACTTCTGAAAAAGTCACCACAGAGCTGGCGATGGGAGCAAGTGGGTACATATACTTGTCCATATATCTGCCCAATTCATCTCTAAATCAGCTGATGTATTCTTTCTCTGTAAAGTTTATCTTTGTAAGGTTTGTGCTTTAACCTAAGTTTTGTGTCCTAGGGCTCATCCACACTTCTGTTTCATCTGCTGCTTTCCCCCAGCAAAACACACAGTTTAGTGCTGAATCAGGGCAGATGGCAGTTGGGTGGCAGTAGGCAGTCTGTTCCTCACCTTCCTGTGCCCCTGGCATGGTCTAACTCTTGACTCTTCCTTTCCCCAGAGCCTCAGTCTCAAAGTGGGTGGGGTGGCTTGCCCTCTACTTAGGAGGCAGAAGAAACAGTTTAATGTCAAAATGTTTATAATCCAAGGTGTTTTGGATCTATCAGGTTCTTCATCAATACATTTCAAAATGTAGAAGCTGAGTCTTTTGTCCTGCTGCAGCTCAGGCATAGAGCATCTGCTTTGCATACAGAATGTCCCATGTTCAATCCCCTGCCCTCCAGTTAGAGCTGAGAATGTCTCCTGTCTGAAATCCTGGGAAGCTGCTGCCAGTCATTGTAGGCAATACTGAGTTAGATGGAACTCTGGACTGACTCAGATAAGACAACTTCCTGCATTATTATCATTATTATTATTCCACCCTTCATCAAAAGATCTCAGGATGGTTCACAAGATAAAAACGCAAGATAAAAGCACAAATAAATATTGAAATAGGAACAACAAAACAATAACCCTCCCTCCCACAAACACATTTAAAAGGCTTTAGAATATTAATCAGTCAAAGGCCTGGTTGAAGAGGAATGTTTTTTGCCTGGCACCACTATGGGGAGCCATTACAGAGAAGGCCTGTTCTCGTGTTGCCACCCTTTGGACCTCAAGTAGAGGAGGCACTTGAAGAAGGGCCTGAGGTCATCATCACAGAGTCTGATTCAGTTTGTATTTCTGTGTAAAGGCTCAGATCCCTTTTGTTGTGTAAATGGGAACTTAGGAATCTGCCTTACTAGGCAGGCTATTTGCCCATCTAGCCTAGTATTGGTTAGTCTGATGGACAGTGGCTCTATTGGGGTCTTAGACCTTTCTCTCTACCACCTGATCTGTTTCAAAACTGGAAATGCCAGAGATGGGAGCTGGGGGTTTTTGTTTGTCAAGTGTGTGCTCTGTCACTAAGCAACAGCCAGGGGTAGCCTGAGAATAGCACCCATTCCCAAATCAAGGTGCATAGCACCCGAGGGCAGCCCAGTTCTTTTGGCACCTGACACAGAAAACCCCACAAGCTCTTCTTCCTGGAAGCAGTGGTTGTTGTTTTTTTGACTCAAGAAAAATAAATACAGTAAATGGGCAAAAGTACAAAGATTCACAAAATGTTTAGGGGTATGCGTACCCCTGTGTCCCCCCCCCAAAAAGCACTGCCTGGAAGTATAAATGCAACCATTATAAAGTTTAGTGTGAACAGTTTGTGATACCCACAACCTTCTGATTTATTTTGCTGCATGGAAGAACGTATCTCTAATGGCCTTATGCCCCTTCCCCAATGGGGTGGTGAACAAAGAACCATGGCTGTCTCTGTCACTCTCTAATAGAAAGTTCTTCTAGTTAAATGAAGCCCAGTTTTCCTGTGGTTGAACCATTTAAGAAAAACCTTCTAAAGGCGTTTCTGTTTGCAGCATGTTATCCAGAAGATAACTGAGCCATAGACATTGAGCTTATGCTATTACAAAAGCCAATTGGCAACTTGTTTTATTTATTTATTTATTTATTTATTTATTTAATATTGTGTGCTGGCAAAGATCCACAAAGGCTTCCTGGATCCCAAAATGGGAAAGTCAGGGATGTCATTGGTGGGAGTTGCTGCAATTTTTATTGCAATGTCCATAGCAGTAAAATTACAAGCTTGCTGACAAGTAATGATTTCATATTTGCTTACACTGTTGGCAGCACTTGCAAAAAAAATTTTTTTTTGTAAGAAAAACAAAAACAAACCAGCGACAACCAGGAAAATATTTGCATTGACATTTTCTAACATGAATGAAAGATATCACTGGTTCCGTAATGAGGTCTGGGAGACCTCTTATTCCACCCATTAAGTTCATAATGTCCATCTTTTCATTGAACATCTACTTCTAGAGATGGGGGGGGGGGGTTGTTTGGAAGACAGCATTGCTTGAAGAACAGCATACTTGCACCATGCACATGAATCAAAATTTAAACATGCCCTGAAAGTAGCATAGGGATAATGATTTAAATGGCAACGTGTTACAGGAAATTGCCCTTGTTAAACAGACACTTATAGTAGGAGTGGGGAACCTGTGAGAGAGAGAGAGAGAGCACCAAAGATGTTCTTTTGTCTCTTAGCTGTGCCACTCTTCAAAAAGTATTCATCTTAAATTAGGGTCATGGTGGGGCTCATTAAATGTTTCACTAAAGGTTGTTTCATTTGGGGCTGATGTTCTGCCAATCAAATTGTCCAGAGTGAAGGTAGGAGCTGTAACTGTGCAAAGTGATAATAGCACCTGGGGAAATAAAGGTTGAGGCTTAAAATAAGTGTGTGTGTGTGTGTGTGTGTGTGTGTGTGTGTGTGTAATTATCCATCCTTGGGAGAACAAATCTAACCTGGAAAGATGCTTCCAAAATCTAAACAGGATGATGTGATGGGGGTGGCAGTGGGGAGGCAGGGAGAAGAATGAAAAAAACAATGCAAGCTCCAAAGTGGATTTTCAGTTCCAATATTTTAGTGCCTCGGGAGAAGGACAAGATGGCAAGTCTCCCCTCCACCTGCCATTGCACTACCACCATTTACAGCTTTTAAAGAAAGTCTGGCTTTAGCAATGAGAGATGACCAGAAGATAAGAGGAATAAAGGTGGGCAGAAGAAATCAGTATTGTAATACAGTATATGCAGATGACATAATGTTACTTTTTTCCTACCAATTAACCCTTTGGAATAAATTAAGGAGGTAATTCAATAAATGGGTGGGGCTACTGAATAGACGCATCTAAAACAGAATTTATTGGATTCTGTTTGAAGGGAGAGGACAAACTCCTTGAATTTTTCTGTTGAAAAAGGAAAGGTAGGAGATATATGCTGGGAGCAAACAAGCAAGCTAGGTGCTATGTTAACGATTATTTCTTGAAGACAGGCTTGATGGTGAATGTGATAAAGGTGGCCCACTGCTTGATGGTTATATGTGCTTGACAAAATGGATTGCTGTTAAGAAATGAAAAGAAGCTTGAGTAAATCTTTTTCTTCAGCAGCGTTCATATAAAAAAAATTAACTGGAAAAGATACCATGGCTGATTGATTTTGTTCTGTTCTCCAAAAGCTCCAGTTGTGTCAAAACCAACTTCCATTCCATCAGGAGTATGTTTGACATTTGACGGGCTGTCACTGGAAAGACAAATGTGTCCAATCAAAAGCAGCTGAGGAGAGAGATGACCTTTGCCGTCACTTCTTGATGTGCTGTGAGCTAATAAATTAAGGAAAGGAGATTAAAGATACAGGCAGATGGGGAGGCAGTTGGTTGGGCAGACAGGGTGAAGAGTTACGTTGTCTCTTGAGATGGCCTTATCAAATAGCTGTTGCTGGAGGCTTCTTTCCAGAATCTGAGTCAAAACCAGAAGCTACATAAAGTTCTGTGTAATTTCCCCTGGTTGCTTTGTATATGTAACTGAAAAAAGCAGAGCTTGGAAACTGCAATCAGGAATTGAGGAAGGGTGAGAGGTGATTCGCCACTCTCTCCTGGCCATTTTCCTCCTTTTGTTGTTCAAAGATAAATTACAAAAATGAGGAAGAAAAAGGAGAGTGTTCATAACACAATGATGATGATGATGATGATGATTTATTATTTATACCCCGTCCATCTGGCTGGGTTTCCCCAGCCACTCTGGGCGGCTTCCAACAAAATATTAAAATACAATAGTCTGTCAAACATTAAAAGCTTCCCTAAACAGGGCTGCCTTCAGTTTTCTTCTAAAAGTCTGGTAGTTGTTTTTCTCTTTGACATCTGGTGGGAGGGAGTTCCACAGGGTGGGTGCCACTACTGAGAAGGCCCTCTGTCTGGTTCCCTGTAACTTGGCTTCTTCGCAGCGAGGGAACAGCCAGAAGGCCCTCAGCACTGGACCTCAGTGTCCGGGCAGAACAATGGGGGAGGAGACGCTCCTTCAGATATACTGGAGCGAGGCCCTTTAGGGCTTTAAAGGTCAGCACCAACACTTTGAATTGTGCTCGGAAATGTACTGGGAGCCAATGTAGGTCTTTCAGGACCGGTGTTATGTGGTCTTGGTGGCCACTCCCAGTCACCAGTCTAGCTGCCACATTCTGGATTAGTTATAGTTTCTGGGTCACCTTCAAAAAATATTTGTGCACAGGATAATACTTAGTTTCAGATAATGTATGGTCACATCCACAACAAACAGTTAATGAACACCTGTACCACTATCATGGTCATGCTCCCCCCCCCCAATAATTTTGGAGACTGTAGTTTGTTCAGTGTCTCCTAATAACTCTCAGTACCCTTAACAAACTTTAGTTGCCAAGATTCTTTTGGGGGAAGCCATGAGTGTTAAAATGCTAAAATAATTCTTATGTGTTAAGATATATAGAAATGCAGATATTTTGTATTGTACTTCTACATTACTTAGAGTGAAGCAGTGAAATGCATTGTCTGCTAGAAGATAATGTGAGATGTAATAATATTTCAATATGTCTCCTACTAACAAATACAAATTTATTTGTTCTTGCTCTCTGTTATTCCAATGAAATATAAACAACTTCCATTTTTCACCCAATACCTTCTGTCAAAATAGATTTTCCACCCATGAGAGAAAATATATAGACCCCTGTATCTTTTTCCTTGTACTGGGGAATAAACAAACAAGCAGCTTGAGCAGCCTGTGGCTCTGCATGCGCACAAACATGTTTTTGGATAATATCCTACACAGAGTAAATTGGAATTATTTTCATTAGAGACTAATATGATTCAATCTCATTTCTTTTGTAGGTTTATCTAGCAACAACGATGCCTTCACAACCGTCCCTCCAAAACTCATCAGGCTAAGACATCTTAATGCTGCTGCTTAAACATTTCATTTGGGATGAACTGAACTAGCCTCTCTGCTTTTGTTGGTATTCTAGTAGTAATTTGGTTAAAGAATAAAATGAGAATTCCCAGGATGCCTAGAGCCCGTTCTGAGGCAAGTATGCTTTTGTGTGAGAGAGTTCAAATCAATAAACATGTAGCAAAGTAAAGCAGAAATATAGGCCTTTAGTCATTTAAATTATCCCCTTCTAAGTTGCTTCCAAAGTTCCCCGCTTTCCCTTAAGCATAGAAAGCACTTAAACTCTTCTAAGGTCAGATTCATGTGCTTTTCCATATAGCAACAAAAGGCAGTACAATTTCATTTCAAAGTTGGTAAATGTTTCTAAATTATTTGTATTGAAATACAGAGGTGACTTGATGGTCAAGGCTTGGAGCAATCAGCCCAGACATTCTTACTGATTTGTTCACATGATGGAAAAAGAAATAAAAAAGAGATTGGTAACTTTCCCTCCCAAGATAAGGGCTTTGACCTGGCCAAGCCTGGCAGGACAGCTGACTCTATGGTCTCAACCCCTTCATACATTAATTAGAGTTCAGCATGCTGGTTTTGTGAAGCTGGATATATCCCACAGCTTTAAAGCTTGATGTGTTTTATCAAGCTCTCATTCTGCACTGAATAAACAGATTAAGGGAAAGTCCACTGGCCTGCTTGGATGAGTGTGGTCCACAGTTGGGGTTTTCGGTAATACTAAAGACTTGCTTATATAACATGCAAATGAGCTCATCACACACCTTCTGTTGCATTGATGGAACATCTTTGGCACTTATTGGGGTTTTCTTGGTGTTTAAGTTAAGTTGCTATCTGTGGGGCTGTGTAGGTGGAACACAGATTTAGTGCTCACACAACATGGAGGCTTTGAAATGTTGGACATTTGAAACAGATCTGCTGTGCATTGAGTTAAATCAGGAGTAGGGGGGCTTTTTCAGACTGAGGGGCACAGTGGTAAGTGGGGCCAGAGGCAGACGTAGGTGAGGCAACTTTTTTTTTAAAGAAAAACTTTGTTCAGTAGGCTAGTTCCTACATGCACTCAGACAACCTCTCTGCCCTCCATCCAGGAAAGCAAGTGACATTGTCAGAGTTCAAAGAGACACTAAAGCAGCGGTTCTCAACCTGTGGGTCCCCAGATGTTGTTGGACTACAACTCCCATCATCCTTGAGCTCTGGCCTTGCTAGCTAGGGGTGATGGGAGTTGTAGTTCAACAACATCTGGGTTGGGAAAGGCTGCACTAAAACATCCAAGGAGGATACAAAATAGGAGTGGTGAGAAGGGTGGAGGTGGAATGTGGCTGAGGAGAAGGTGTAGCCTGGGGAGAATCCAGAGTACCAGATAGAGAGACCTAGGGGGTTGCATTTGGTCCCTTGACTTGAGGTTCCTCACCTCTGAGCTAAATAACAAAACTACCACTATGGTGTGTTTTTACTAGCATTCATAGTACTTCACATACATTATCTTGTAGTACTTTATGAGGATCCTGCCTGATCCAGACCTCAGGAGACCTCTTACTGATTGACTGAATTTATATCTGCCCAAAGTAGGAGGAGGCTTCAGACACCACAAATAACCCCAGTCTGTAGCCAAGGACCTAGAGGACCTATTCCAGTCCCAAGGCAGCCCCAATAGATGTCTTGCCTGGACACTTCCAGTAACCCTCTTTGACCTCATTGTAAGCACTGCCTTCGTCCCCAGACCTCTTGCTTCATCCCCTCTACCAGGACTTCACGAGCTAAATTGGCATTGGGAAGGTCAGAGTTGCCATAGGAATACCCATGTTGACTGCCAGAAGGCTCACTTGCCAGGAGTTTCCATGGAAGGAAGGGTCAACTCAGATAGAGGGATATAATCTACCAGGAAGAGGAGGAACAGACATAAATCTCCCAGTCTCCCCTGAACCTTTGCTGAGTTAACAGCTCCCTCTGAGCATCTTAACATTCAGCTCTCTTCCTTGCTGTTTGGGATTCCTCCTGCAACCCAAGGTGTGTTTCAAAGGAACATTGATATGAGTACTCACCACATGAATTTCTTAAAAATGGCTCCCCAAAAGCCCATTTTTCTTTCTTCCTACCAACTGTAGATAGGACGAACCCAGTATTTAAAGAAGTGTCAGAATCAGATTAATCTGCTTATTTATTTGCATTGAGGCTGTTGGAATAACATATTACTATTTCAATGCAGCACATGGGAATATCTTTTCATCTGTTACCATGATGATGGACAACTTTGCAGAGTTCATGTTTTGAGGTTAGCTGTTAGTCTCTCGTTTATCATCACAGAAGGTAGGAAAGCAGGCAGTTGATGCTGGGCATTCTTCGTTAAATGAGCCTAATCTGTGAAAAAAGTTCCAAGTCTTCCAGGAAGCCATGCCCAGTACCTCAGGGGAGCCATTCAAGTTCAGTACAAGACATTTTGACCCCTCAGGTTGAGGTTCCCCAGCCTTGCCATCAGATTTCCACAGCATTCTCTCAGCTCCCTTTCTGAGGAGAAAGAACTGTGCAAACAGAGCCCTTCTAGACAAAGGTCTTCACCACAATATCTGAGATTGCAGCACTTGCCAGCAGGCTCTTGCAAAGCTTGTATGAGGCCCGGGATGAGAATTTTTTTAGAAAAAGGTTATAAATGCAAATGAAAAAGCATCTGGCCCCTAGAAGGGCCCCCTGACCAACTTAGCCTTCCAATACCCGGGGCAGGTATACCCAGCAGCTTCCTGCCCCCTGCACAGGCCTGCTTGCAAGAGGTTACTAGCAGTCCCTGCTTTAGTGTTGCTGTCCCTGGAATGTGATGCAAACCTAGCCGTCTCTCAAAAGACTTAGATCTTTTTAGTTTACGGGTTGCCAGGATGTCAATATTGGGGCACTGGAAGCCCCCAACGTCTTATCTCCGAGATTCCTGATTTTGCAAAGTATGTCATATTGCCCTTTCAAGAGCGGCTTACTCATCCTCTCCATATAATATGGGGTGCTTCTAAAAGAGACCACTTTGATAAGGTTTGCTTTCAATTTATTTCTTACTTTCATAATAATACAAGGTTGTCCCATCTGCCAGGAACAAATTGTGGAGAGGTTATGATAGATCTGACTCATACTCTGAGAAATGTTCTTTTTCTGTTCCTTGTCCACTCTTGATTGAGTTATGCTATTTGCCTCATGTATTATTTGTTTGCAGGCTGTACATTTGTTATATATAGCTGTCCATTTTTCTCTTTGTAGGAACTTTTTCAAACTATAATATATTTTTATTGTGTGTGCATTTCTCCGATGAAAATAGGGACTTTCCATTCCATAAAGATAATTTTAGTATTTATACCGAGCACATCTTACTGGGTTGTTCCAACCACTCTGGGCAGTTTCAAACATATATAACAACATAATAAAACACTAAACACTGAAAAACTTTCCTATACTGTATATGGCTGCCTTCAAATGGCTCAGGGGTGGAATAACTCCATACCCTCCAACATTTCTCCAATGAAAACAAAGACATCCTAAGGAAAAGTGGGACATTCCAGGATCAAATCAGAAACCAGGATGGCTTCTCTAAATTAGAGAAGTCCCTGGGAAATAGGGACACTTGGAGGGTCTGCTGGACCACTACACCTGTTCCACATTGCCCAGACTAGTAATTCACCATTACCTCCAACATTGGTGATGGTATAGCGTCCTGTACTGCACTTGAAGCAGCAGTCTAGTTTACTGCCTGTCACACCTGAAGTTCAGTGGCAGCCCCCATGGTACACACAACTCTGCCCTCCTAACACCAGTGTTGTTGCAACATACCTGGATGGTGACTGCAAAACTGGGGTTGTGTAGGTGTAATAACAGGGTCACTCTGGCCCTGTCCTATCCCAGCACAGTCCAGGAAATTGGCATCAATGCCAGTGTCAGGAAGGTGGCTCCACAGTTCTTACCCACAATGCCTACTGCTTTCCAGGCTCTTTATATGGTCCACGAGACCCTACACAGGGGGACACCCCATTCCTCTAGGCTACTCCCCCTTACCGGCACTGTTCCTCTCAATTTGCTGGCTGGAATGTGTCCTTGAACTGTGATAATGTCTCTTGCTTGAGATGTGGGGTGGGAGGGATGCCACGATTAACTATCATCCTTGTAAGCGTTAGACGTGGTGAATCTGCTCGGTGTCTCTGCAGAATTCTGCACTACTTACAGCCAATATATATATAACGGAGAGAGGGAGGATTTGCCTTGTCAGCAAAGGGGAAAAATTGACTCTGTCTGGTCGGAGCTTTCCAGGGGAGCACTTCGGATTAATGGCTGTCGGCGGGGTGGTGCAGCTTAGCATAGGCAAGTGCTTCAGGAAGATGTAGAGCTGCAGCAGCCTCTAAGAGATAACTCACATCAGATGCCTTTCCTTGGGGTTTTATCTTTTCTATCTTTGGTGCAATAATGACCTTGATTTATCAGCAACTGCAGCACACGGAGCAGCTGCACTGTCTCCACAGTGACAACATGCACAGGGTCTGGTTAGCACGCTAAGAGCTTTTGCTGGTGACTGGTAATAACTGGAGCAGCAAATCTCATTTTGGCCTTGGGCAGCATAAGGCTGCCTGCTACAAATTAGGAAAGGTGGAATAAGCAAATAAGCCAAAGGTCCATCTCGTCCAGCATCCTGTTCTTACTGTGGCCTACCAGATGCCTCTTGGTGTCCCACAAGCAGAACCTGAGCACACAACGCTCTCTCATGCATGCAGGGCTTTTTCCAGCCAAAACTTTCAGGTGGGCACCATTGCCATTATAAGAGAACAAGGGAGGTGTTCATGTTGAGTTCCTCTTTTTCTAGAAAAATAGCACTGCATGCATGTATCGCCTGCAATTGGTATTCAGAGTCATACTGGTCCCAGCTATACCCAACCATCAGGTCTAGTAGTCACTGATAGACTTTTCTTCCATGAATTTGTCTGATTTGCCTTTACAGCGATCTAAGTCAGTGGCCACCTCTTGTGGGAGCAAATGCCATAGTTAAACTATGCACTTTATAGAACCACAGTGTTTTGAAGGGGAAAAAATGTAGGTTTGGGTTG